GCTGTGCTCGTTATAGGGCAGCCTGGAGACGGATTGCAGGCAGAGGGAATGGCAGGGAGCCAGCAGGGCTGGATGCACATCCATGGGGGAGTGGATGCCGGGGCTGGGATGTGCTAGCAAACCCTCCCTTGTGTCCCTTGCCCTTCTCAGGCTGGCATGAGGTCATGTCTTACCTACCCTGATCTTTGCTCTTTCCCCTTTCTATAAATTAAAAGTCAATATATTCACAGTCTTCAGGGAGTGCCACCCTTCCCGGTGTGCCAGCAGGGAGATGGATCCCTCTCTGCTGCCTCACGTGTGCATTTCCAAAGGAAAAGAGGTGGCCAAGCACCTCTGGATGCTGGATAAGATGATCCTAGACAGAGCCTGTTTTGTTCAGCAAGGAGAGCGAAGGGAGATTATTTTTTTAATATGAGACTCTCGAATGCAGGGGTTCTGTGCAGATCTGGCTCATTAGGAAACTGTGCAGAGCTTTCGTTGCTGCTGCTTAATGAGGCAAAAGAGGAAGTAAAAGTGGGTTTGTGCTGTAAAGTGGACTCACAGTTTTGTTTTATAATAAACCACAGACTTGGTGAAAAGTGACCCCCTCCACCTCCCTTTCTCCTACTGCCATCGTTCCTTCTTCAATAGGTGTTTTTACTAGAGGAATTCCCAGAAGTATGACAGGAACCGTTCTTCCTGTGAGCTTGTCTTTTATTGAAATGCAAGAGGAAGTTCCTTAGACTTCTCCAAAAAGGTTCAATAGGTCTGTAGAAGAGGAAGTCACATTTTCAGCGTGTTTTACCCATGACGAAGCAGCCAAAACCGAAGCCGGAACGAGCAGCCAGTTCCTCTGCTGGAATTCCCTGGGGAGCAGCAGCCCAGCGGGTGGGATCCCACTGCCCTCGTGCTGCTGCTCCTGCTTCCTCCCACCCCCCAAAATCCCACAGCAAAGGGTTGATACTGGAGCCATAGGAGCTGGGAAGTGGGAAGGTGCCTCACTGGGTGCTGTGATTCCAGCTTTCCACTCGGCCTGTTCTGTGGTGCTGGAGCTCGGGGTGTGACCTGTGTGGCAGGGTGTGAGCTGGAGTGGATACACAGCACTGGGGAAAACCTGGATTTGGCTGGGACTGCTGCTGGTTTCAGCAGCCATGGGGTTCCACCTGTGCCAGTCAGTGATGCACTGACGGGAGGAAGGGAACTGCCTCCTATTTGGGCACAGACGATAAAAATCCCATTGCTTCCTGAGATTTATCTTAAGCAGAGCCAGTCTGATGCGTTTCAGTTTTCTCCTAAACCTTTTAGAGGCAGGAATTTGATCCCTAATGAGTGTTCTTCCCTTTGATAACCGTAATAAATCCCAGGCTCTGTTCCTGGCCTTGATAAAACCTCGTGTGAATTGCAGCAGATGAGTATAAATCCTCAGGCTCCTTTCAGTGCCGAGCCCGGCATGTGGCCGCCTTCATCCCCCGTGCTGGTGGAAGCTGGCAGCAGGAAGGGACAGAGTGTGTGAATGTGAGCAGCTCTTGCTGCTAGATAAGCTGGGGACTTGCTATATATATATCCAATTGCCTTCCCTTCCCTTGGATCGATTGGCTGGGGATTTCCCTTTCTCAGAGTGCCTTTGGAGCGGCCGGCGTGGCCAGAGCCGTTTTTAGCAGCAGTTAAGCTCGTGGTGGAGAGCAGGGATGGGAGCACTTAAGCTCAGCTGAAGTTGCTGACCTGCCCACATCCTTTGAGGTGAGGTTATTAATGAAAGCAGGTCAGTGTGCAAGGCAGTCCCTCCGTGGGATTTTCCACTGCCGAAGTACAAAGCATTTTTGCAGGCTCCAGATACCTGGAAATTAAAGACCAGGGGACCTACTTCAACCTTCTTAAACCAATTTGGGTGAAGCAGAATTGTTCAAGGCCAGGTGAGGTATTGCTTGGTTTTGGGAGGGATACCACCCCCAGAAAAGTCTCATGAAGGGCAAGTTTCCAAGTTCATTGCCTGGTTGGGAAGAGGAGCAGTGGCAACACAAGCCCTCAGAAGGCTTCTCTCCACAGTGCCAGAAGGATGGAGGGTGTCCAGGCTGTCAACATAACAAACCATCTGGAGGTGCTGCCCACAGACCCAGGGTTTCCATGAGAGCCAACCATGCTCAGGTTGGATATGTAATCCCAAGTGAGTTCTTAACTTATTAGTAACAGCTCTCAAGTGTTTCACTCTCCTCTTGTGGTCTTCTGTATCTTCATGGTAGAAACCTGAGCAGGGGCCCGTTGCTCTGTTTTAGAGGTTCTTCCTGGGGAAGGGGGACATGGGAAATTCATTTGATGATGGCACAATTATGGCAAGTTTTGGAGAGAAGCTGGGTTTCCACCAGGAGTGTTCAGCAGAGATGTGTGTTCCCGGCCACATTGCAAGGGTTGGACGTCGCTGTCAGCACTGCAGATCCTGGTGCAGGATCCACCTCCTTAGGGCAGCTGGTTGTGGGGAGGCTGCTGGGGAAACTGGGCTTGGTTTGGGTGAGCCAAGAGAAGAAATCCCGATGCTTTGCTGTCCTCCCAAACCTGCTGTGGTTTCAGTCGTGGCTTTTGCACGTAGGTGTTTATGTGTGTTACTAAAAAATGCTTCCTTTTATTCCCACAGAAGAAAACTGTTCTTGGAGAAAAAAGGCTCTCCTAGAAATTTTACCTGTTAATGAAGGCACGTGGGCTCTGGCCTGGAGTTCTGGCCAGCAGCACGTGATTCCAGAGTCCAGGAGCTGGAATTGCAGCTGTCCCAGGGCTGTGAACCCCAGTGCTGTTACAGGACCATTACAGGGCGTGTGATCACCTGGAATAACAGCAGTATTTTTTTCTTTCAGACACTGTTCCTACTGCCTGTTGTTTGTCCCAGTGGGGATCCAGATCCTTGCAGGCAGGTACCAGTTTGGATGCCAGAGGTGTCCAGCTGCCTTTACCAAGGGCTAGAGTTCCCCCATCCATCCTGTCCTCTGGCTGCAGGCAGATGCCTCAGGAACCCTAGGAGTCCTAAAATAATACCAGATGGGTCTGTTTATGCACCTGTATAAAAGAATAATAGTTATATTTATAAAAACAGCAGGGCTGAAGTTGTGTTGCTGCTGTTTGGTTGAAATTGTTTTAAAATACCCACATGTTGAGTGCAAGGATGTTGCAGGTGGATGCTCTGAGCTCAGCTGGGAAAAGCTGTTGTGGGGTGGAGAGGGGGAGAGATTTCAGAGCCTTCTGGTGCATTTGGGTCACATATTTCATGTTTTTCTGCAGTCACAAAGATTGCTTTTCAAAGAAAACCACGGCTGTCAGAGACTCCCCAAGCTGACGGGAATTAAAAGGTGAATTCTCCTCATGCATAAGGAGATCTGAGTGTTTGCACAGAGAGCAGTTTAGACAGTACTTTTCCAGCCTGGAGACTTGGGATGTGACCTCAGTAGTGCAGGCACCATTTCCTTGAAGCTGTTGCTGCTTCCTTCCTGAGACTGAGTTCAGATCAGTGCACGGTGAGGAGAGAGGCACTGCCAGGGCAGGGTGAGGGGGAGCCCAGCACCCACACGTCCCTCCCTCCCCGGCTGCAGGACCCCCAGGAGCAGGCAGGAGCCTGGATTGCAGCTGGGATGGGTCCATCTGCACTGCTTTGGGTAGGGACCAGGCAATTGTTTGTACTTGAATAAAGGCTTAATTGTGACTTGAAATGTCCCAACTGCTTTTTAAAAGAAAAGCAAACAAAGCTTGGAGAACAACGGGCTGGAGTTACAGAGGACTTGGGAAATGTTTGCCAAAGCTGTGCTTCCTGTCTCTGTCAAGTGTGATGGTTATGGAGTTCAGCTTGGAGCCTTAGCTTTGAATCCCTTCCCTGCCAGCTTGAGATGAAAGGCCTGGAGGGCAGGGATGGCACGGGGGCAGCGGGGGCTCTCTCGGTCCGTGGCTCCTCCATGTGCCCTCGTTGGAATGAATGAGGGGTCTGTCCTGCTCTCTGCTGGTGCCTCGGGCTTCTCCCTGGCTGGGATGGGAAATGAATCAGCACGGCCATGGCAGAGCCTCTGCCAGTCCCTGTTCCCTACCAGCTCCTTGGGAAGACGAAGGAGGAGGCAGAGGCTGCCCTGGCAAGGGAGCATCCCCTGTGTGCTGCTGCCACCTGGTGCCACCGGCTGCCCCGGCCCCGGGGCTGTGTCACAGCCTTGGGAAGGGAAGGGAGGTGATCCCGCTCGTGCTCCTGGCTCTGTTTCCTTTGCAGTCGCTGCTTTCCCCTTGAAACTGGGATTTCACTGTCATTAATGTAAAGAGTGGAGTCAGCTGGCAGGCAGGCAGGCTGCTGGAATTAATTATGCTTAAAGCCATTGCAGAGATGGATGGCAGTGCTCATTAAGGGTCTGGCAAAGCATTCTCTTCCCTCATTATCCTGTACACCTTGATGGCATCTGGGTGGCACTGCTGGACCCTCCGAGCTGGGGTCTGTCAATCTGCCCATGTGCCACCACCTCGTAGAATCACAGAATGCCTGGCTTGGAAGGGACCTTGGAGATCATCTTGTTCCATCTTGCACGTGGTATAAACTGTTTTCTGGCTCCTCTGTGTATCCATCTCTCCTGACTCCTGGCTGAGCGAGAGGTGGCAGAGGAAAGGGTGGGACAGACAAAATGCTGCTGGGGATGTGGTCCTGCAGCTTGGGTGCACCAGAAGGATCTCCCCCTCCCCTGTTTCTTCACTCTTCTGCAAAACAAGTTGTTATTAGACCACTGATGGTGTCTCCAGGCTCAGCTGTCCCCTGACACAGAGGTGACTGGCAGGTCTTTGCTCCAGGTGCATCCTTGGCCCAGCCTATCGAGTTTGGCATTTTTTGAATTCTGGTGGTATTTTCCTCCCCCGAGCTCTGATCTTGTTTGCCCATTTCCCCCTCCAGCTCCCTCCACACCCTCTTCTACATTCCTGCATCCTTCCTTCCAAGGCTTTTTATTCCACCCCCAGCAGTCCTCACTTCTACACCGTTCACTGGCATGACCCCAAACCTGTCTGTACCCCAGTGCTGCTCCTGCCCCGGGGTCCTTACCCCAGTTCAGCTCCTGGTTCACCCCAGTTGCCAGGACACTCTGCTCCTTTCCCTGCACCAGGCACATGTTCTCTGGCTTGTCCTCTCACCTCTGGTCCTGTGCTGTCTGTTCTTCCCTGTGACACTACTCCCCTTCCCCCCTATTCTTAATTTCTCCCCTGCCTCTGAATCCCCCCCCATGCTGTGTAGTTTCTCCCCTGTTCAAGGCAGAGCTCCCCTCTGCTCCACTCACCCCCTGGGCCTGACATTTTTTCCCCATTTCCATGGTGAGTCCCTTGAATGTAGCCCATTCAGAGTGAAGTCCTTCATCTCCTCAGCCTGGAACTGCTGCTGCAAAAACCTTGAGCTTGGCAAAATCTCCACATCATTCTCACCCCCCTTGGCCATTTGGGTGGTTTGACTCCGTGGCAGCTGTGCTCCTGAAATCCTGGACTTGCTCTGCCCATTCTCTCCCTTGCTCTGCCGTTCCTTCAGCCTTTCCTTAGGGATTTGCTCTCCCAAGGGAGCTCTACTTTCCATCCTGCTGTTGCTCTGTGTAACCTTATCCTCACACACACATCCCCCTGCCCTCCTCTGCTTGTTTGTGTCCCCCCTTGATCCCTGGCTCAGTCACGGGCCTGGATACTCTGTCCCTATATTCCCTGTGTCACTCCATAACCAATACCAACCTCCAACATCCTCTTGCTCTGGGAATGGGCACGAGGACCAGCACAGCCACCTCTGGATGTGTTTTTGAGGGCCCTTCTCCCATAGGATGGTGCTGTGCAGTCAGGAGCATTCCTGGCTACTCCAGTCCTGCAAATTGCTGCTTAATGTGTCCTGGTCTGAGCTCTTGGGAACAGTCCCATGTTTGAAACCTAGATGTTCCCCCTTGGAATGCAGGTGGAGCCTAATCAGCCTTCAAAGAGGTCTTGGTTGTTTTTAAATAGGAAGAAAACCCCCACTTCCAGGGCATTTTAATCGTGGCCTGGCTCTTTGGTTGGACGGCCAGGAAGGGTTTGCAAGCCATGACCTTTTCCTGGTGGCTGTGGGTGAGCCAAGGTGGAATGTGGTTGGCTCTGTGCCATGGGCTGAGCGAGGTGACACCCATGTCCTGCTCCCTGTTGGCCTGACAATGTCTCCCAGCACCCAGGATGGGTCATGCAGGTGCAGCTCTGCAGTGCCATGGCAGGTACCCCCCTCCCCTGGGACAACTCCTCTTACCCTTCCCACATCTCCCAGGTGGGATAACTTTGGATGTGGGACTCTGTGATCCCGAGCCACTGATCTCCTTGGGAAGAGCAGCTGGAGGTGTGGGATGTGCTGAGGGCACCACGGGCAGCTCTGCTTGCCCAGAACCCTGTGGAGGGGATTTGTGTTTTCAGACCTGGACTAAAATCTAACTTTAATCCATTTTAAGTACTCCAAGCAGCAACAAGCACAACTTTTTCCATAAGTTTGATGGAATTTATTCCATTCTGAAACTTCATCTAGCAGTAATTGGATTGAGAGCTATACTTGTCAGAGTTGCCCAGAGCTGATATTTTGCATAAACACTTCAGCATATTGAAGGATTTTCTTTAATTATTATATTTGGTTTTTAAGCTGCATATCCAAGCTGTTTTTATTTTGGATTACTAGATGGGATTGGTGTTCCTGCTCCAAACATGCTGACTGAGCTCTGGCCACCCAGAGTCAGCTGTAGCTGTGGTCCCAGCAGTGCTGGGGACAGAAGTGCCACCAGTCCATCCCCTCTGCCACCACTACTGTCATATATTATTGCAGCAGACTTTTTGCCTGTCCCTGTATGAGCAGCTCATGTGGAGGTGTCTGTGGGGTCCTCTAATCTTCAATTCCAGCAGCCCTTCATCCATGGGTAATTCTGCATCTTGGAATTCATCCCTTGCCCCTGGTTAGACCCATAAATTATGATCCCTTCCAGAGCAATCTGAATACTTTGGCAACTTGTCACCATCATCTGGTACTGCTGTGACATTCCTGAGCTCTGGTAGCCTCATCCTTTCTTTTTAGTAGTTATTCAGCAGTAAAAGAGATTTGTTGTTGAAGAGCAGCTGGTCATGGCCTTCATTAGAAACAACCCTCAGAACTGTAATTTTGTTTAAAATAACAAAGACCATCCCATACAATCTGCTTTGCATGTAACTGTGGGGTCTGACAATTATATTTTTGGCCTCTAATTAGTCGAGAGGCTTGAGATGACTGTTTCTCTTTCATTTGGGATCACAATAAGGTTAAAAGGGTTCCTGGTTTTTGATTTTTTTACTAACATCCCCTGTTCACTATTGGACTTATTTTTTCCCCTTTAAGTGTGCCAGGACTAACTCTACGATTTTAGCTGAAATTAAAGCAAAACTCTCTGCCTGGGGCAGGAGCTGAGCACAGAGAGCTTCGCTCCAACTGCAAACAATTGCTGCACTTTTATGAGCAATTAAAACCGAGTTTCCCAGCGGGAAGTGAGGAGCTGCCAGGGGCCACCCACCTCGCCCGGGGCACCCACGACACCCCAGGGAATGGCTGGAGCTGTGTCAGGGCAGGCTCAGGTTGGATCTCAGCCAAAGGTTCTTCCCCCAGAGGCTGGTTGGGCACTGCCCAGGCTCCCCAGGGCAGTGGGCACAGCCCCAAGGCTGCCAGAGCTCAGGGAGGGTTTGGCTGATCCTCTGGGGCACAGGGGGTGACTCTTGGGGCTGGGCCTGTGCAGGGCTGAGGGTTGGACTGATGATCCTTGGGGGTCCCTCCCAACTCAGCACATTCCATGATTCTGTGACACCTCTCTGGCTGCACTGACCAGGCTGGAAAGCTGTAACTGCCTTTCCCACCTTTCCAAAGGTCTATGTGTGTGTCTGAAATCCCCCTGTGTGTGATGGGCATCCCCCCTCCCTCCCCCAGGACCTCTGCTCCCCATGGTGTGCTGGCAGGGAGTGCCACTGTTGTTCCATGTTCCCAGGTGTGCTGGAGGTGTGGCTTTAAGCTTTTCTCAAAGACTCCTGTAAATCCACAGCTGTGGACTTTTGTGGCATCTCCATGAGATGTGGAGAGGCAGAGAGAGAGGAAACAATTCTCCTGGGTTTTGGATTCTCCCGGTTTTTGGCAGCCCGGTTGTTTGCGTGGAGAGCTGGGATTTCCAGTGCACGTATGGTTTCTGTCCCACCTTGGCTTGGATTGCAGTTGAAGGGAGACCTGGGGGTTTGAGTCCAGAGCTGCAGTTTTTAGGAAAGGACAGTCACTGGTGTGTGTGACAGTCTGGCCAGGGCCAAGGCTGAGGATCCTGGAGGAGGACGGGGCCAGCGCTGCAGGCAGAGCTCTGTCCTGGCCAGGCTGTTCCAGCATCTGCAGTGAACTGGGACAGAGGTTTCCAGACCCTGCTCTGGTCCCTGCCGCTCACCAGGAGGGGCAAAGATCCCTGGAGGCCACAGTGTGGTTGTGTAAGGAAGTGTGGTGTGAGTCACATGGGCAGGAGGTTGTGGAGGGAGCAAATTAAGGGTTTTACAAGTGTTCTCACCTCTGACAGGGCATCATTATCAGAGGGTTTGGCTCTGGGACTGAGAGTTCCGGGGAAGTTACGAGCTGTAAAAGTGCTCGAGTGAAGTGAGTTATGTTCTCTACTTCCCCCAGCCTGGGTGTGTCAGGTGGCATCAGCCCCCTGGCCCCACCAGCACCATCCTGTGACCCTCCAGCGAGCCATGGGGAGGGCAGTGGGCTCTTGGCCTGGCTGTGGGGGCACAGCAGCACAACAGTGTGAGGGTTTGGGGTTTGGGCTGACTTGGGGGTGATGGTTGATAAAAAACTCCACATGAGCTGGCAGCGTTCACTGGCAGCCCAGAAACCCCTGTGCCCTGGGCTGCGTGGGCAGCAGGTGAGGGAGGATTCTGCCCCTTTCTGGTGAGAGCCCACCTAGAATACCCTGTACAGTTCTGGTGCCCCCAATATAAGAAGCACGTGGAACTGTTGGAGCAAGTCCAGAGGAGGCCACTGAGTTGACAAGGGGACTGGAGCACCTCCCCTTTGGAGACAGGCTGGGAGAGTTGGGGCTGTTCAGCCTGGAGAAGAGAAGGTTGTGTGGAGACCTCACAGCTCCTTCCAGGATCTGAAAGGGGCTACAAGAAAGCCAGAGAGGGACTCTGCCTCAGGAACTGGAGGGACAGGACAAGGGGGAATGGCTTCCCCCTGCCAGAGGGCAGGGTTAGGTGGGATATTGGGAAGAAATTCTCCCATGTGAGGGTGGTGAGGCCCTGGCACAGGTTGCCCAGAGGAGCTGTGGCTGCCCCATCCCTGGAAGTGTCCCAGGCCAGGTTGGACGGGGCTTGGAGCAGCCTGGGCTGGTGGAAGGTGTCCCTGTCTGTGACAGTGGGGGTTGGAATGAGATGATCCTTAAGGTCCCTTCCAACCCAAAGCATTCTGTGACTGTGTGATTCCATCTGTGTGTGAAAGGGCATCGTTCTCTCTTACCTTCTCTCCGGTTCCATCCTTTCTGTCTTGGCTTTCCCTGTCTCTGGTCTCATTTAATTCCACAGCATCAGCCTCCACCTTGGCACAGCAGGTGCCACCCCCAGCCCATCCCCTGTCACCGAGATTTTAAGGGGAGCTTCTGACCTGGATTTTGGGGGAATCCAACCTCTTTGCATGGGAAACAGACCCTTGAGCAGCTGCCAAACTTGACTTGCACAGGAGAGGTGGTGGGTGCCAGCCCAGAGAGGTGCTGGACAGCAGTGCTGGGTGCTTTGGGCAGCTGCCACCTCCTTCCCGAGGGCTGGAGAGCCTTTGGCTGGAAGCCACAGTGGCAGAGCCAGCAGCCAGCAGGACACAACAGCCTTTGGAAGGAGGAGTCCTGAAACAGGGGGCTGCATTTGGGATGCCAGCACAGGAACATGTGGAAGAGCACAAGTGCAGGAGCAAAGCCTGGGCCAGGTGTAACTCGGGTAATGTTGGAGGTCCTCGGTGCTACAAGCAGCACTTGGGGTTTTGTGGTATCTCCTGGTTTTCTTCACCCCATGGATCCTCAGGAGCCCCTTCAGCTCCGTCCCTGCTCCGACAGGAGGAGGAAGCCCTTGGGGATGGAAGAGTGACAGCATTCCTGCGGGGCTGAGCTCATGCAGAGTCCCCTGCCATGAATTGCCTTTTTCTTGGGCAACTGTGGCTTTCCAGAGGAGCTGGGGGATGGGAGCCAGGAGGAACTTCCTCACACATGACACAGCCAAAGAGTTTCGGTTTCTGGCCATTACCAACTTCTCCTCTGAGGAAGGAACTGAGAACCTGAGGTGGCCATGAGTAATGATTGGATAAATCCGCACCTGCTCTGCAGGAACAGTCCCCGTGTGTCATTCGGTGTTAATAATTCAGATATCTTCAGATTTCTGGAAAAAAAGCATATTTAACATTTTACTTCCCTTGCTAATTGTGCTTCTCACCTCACTTGTAAGTCACCTGCTGGCAGTGACTCTCCCAGTGGTGTGGTGGCTGCTGCTCGTTCCTCTGTGAAGTCTTGAGATGTGAGATCATTTCTAACGAGTGGAAAAAAGGCTTTTATGGTTGAAAAGAGCCAGGCTGATCTGGGTTTGAAGGGTGATATTGCAGTATTTGGCTTTTTTTTTTTTTTCTAGGAAGTTTGATTCCCATTGTGGGGGTTTTTTTTCATAGTTTCCTGAAACTTGGTGATCTGCTTTTAAATGTAAGGTAATATCATGGCATGGTTTGGGTTGGAGGGACCTTAAAGACCCTTCTGCCATGGAGAGGGACACCTTCTACCAGACCAGGTTGCTCCAAGTCCTGTCCAAACTGGCCTTGGACACTTCCAGGGGCAGCCACAGCTTCTCTGG